CTTCATCTGTCTTCAACCGTCTTCAACCGTCTTCATCTGTCTTCATCTGTCTTCAACTGTCTTCAACTGTCTTCAACTGTCTTCATCTGTCTTCAACTTTAACTCTGAATGGACAAGAAGACAAACTCTGACCCACGTGACCACCCGTTAATTAACGTTCACTGAAAAGTATCTGCAGAAATAAAGTTCACGTTGAAACTGTTTCACAAAGGCTGAAAACAAAGATGGCCGACTTGGAAGCTACCAAACGCAAAGCCAAAAAAGTCTTGATCGCCCCCTGGAGTCTGGCTGCAGTATAAGTCATCACCTCCTCCTCCTCCGTGTTAGCAGATGGGGCATGAACCAAACTCAAAGGAGACGTTAAATAAATGTTTGTCGTTCTTCTCTCTGATGTTAGTTCAAGTGTTTCTGATCAGTTTGGTTTAATTATTATTAATGAAAACAGGCGGAGACGTCATGATTGACAGCTGACTTCTGATTGACAGCTGACTTCTGATTGACAGCTGACACTCATTGGTAGAGTGTGGATCGACATCACTGCTCCTCACTGAGCACTTTAGTTTAAAATGATATTGGGGATGTGCTCTGTCTCGTGATTGTTTACACTGCTCGTGTAATCAGGTTTGAGACAGAACGTCTGTGATCACTTCTGGACAGACAGATGGCAGCGTCCATGTCCAAGATATTCTGGCTTCATTTCTGATAAACGAAGGAAGCTGGGACACGTCGTCCATCTGTATTTACAGTCGGACCACAACAACCTGTGGTGGCCTTCGGATAAGATAGAAAGTCTAGAGCCAGTGTTTAGTCTCCTGGATTAAAGCAGATGTTGTGTCTCACCTCAGCTTCTCTTCACGATTTAAAGGTGTCTGACCCTGAGGTGCAGGTTGTAAAGCCGCCGCCCAAACGCAGACGCATCCTCGACCCCTCAGCAATTGTCCCGGTGCCAGTGTACTCCAACAAGGTGAAGCACCACGCTCAGCTGAAGCACATTGTCTGACCGTGTCTTCTCTCTGTCACTGAGTGCTTCTGTTTCCAGGTGAGCAGCAGTCTGCAGCTGAAGCCAATGGATCCCGTGTTCACTAAAAAGAACACCACAGGTATCAACTGAATTCTTGATGGTGCTGTATTTGTAAGAACAATGTAAATCCACGATGGAACTCAGTGGCAGCTGATTGTTCCTGTTTGTGACCAGAGAACGTTTCAGACGACAGTTTGTGGTCATCTCGAGAAACAAACGCAGTTGCCATTGCCCTCAGCGACTCGGAGGAGGAGGAAGCAGAACATGTGGAGAACAAAGCAGAACATGGTGGACTGTAAGTGCTGCAGCTCAGAGAACCATGATGACGTTATTTATTATATCTTGTGTAGAAGAAGCTGCGACACATCAGAGTGTCTTCAAGTTACCGCCCACTCCCTTCATCCCAGACCAGAATGTCCTCACATTAAAATGAAGCAGTGGGATGGAAGTCCCACCGGAACTGTCAGAGTTTAAAAACTGAGTTTGTTTGCTTTGTCTTCTCACACTTGTCCTGTCAGAGACACTGCTCGCTCTCCGTCTCCTCCACCCCCCCAGAGTCTGGTCCAGAAACAGTCCAGTCAGGTCAAAAAGAAGATCAGGTGAGTCTGTGGAGTCTGTCACACCTCCTGGTTTAATAATAATCCCACAGCTCACAGAGCAGACACCGAGTCATGAGGTCGGAGGAGCTGCAGAGCTCAGGGCCACGACTGTGTCTTCCACTGAAGGTTCCCAGAAGCCTCAGGTGGTCCACCCAGGTCTGCTCAGTTCACGGTCCGCCCATTACGACGTGCCGAGGTGGATAAATCCATTGAGTCTCAGTTAAACGACTCATTTCCCTACAACTTGTATCTGTTGTATTTGTTCATATATATATATATGTTATGTTAAATTTGATTGGTTGTTATATCTGTGGGTTTGACAGAAGCTCTGTTGGAGGTAGTTCTTGTATATTTCAGGTTTTAAAACAGCTTCTGGTGTTTTTTCTCCCTCAGTGAGATTGACAGGAGGCTCAAGGTGGTGAACTCCCTCATGTCTCCAGAGCCACAGACCACGACCAGGTCCAGGCGCCGGCGGGGCCTCCGGTCTCCAGCGTTAGAAGAGGAACAAGATGACGTCGTCATTGTAACGAACCCTGACTCCGGCTCATGGAGTTCATTGTACAGCTCCTCGCTCCACGAGATCTCCCTCAAGATCCGCTGCAGAACAGACATCCACAAGATCCCTGTACTGTCAGTACGTTCACAGAGACGCCGTTCAAACAAACAAATCATAAAAACATTCAAACACAGATCGTAGCATTAGTTGGTGTGGACTGTTTGTCCTCTTTAACAGGCAGTTTGTGTTTTCATGTTAGTCGACACCTTTAAGCAACGTGTTGGCCCAGCTGGCTGCCATCCTTCAGGTCCCGCCCCCTCGCCTGCTGCTGTTGAGGCAGGATGTTGAGCTTCCGATAGAATCCACAGTCGGAGAGATCGGTCTCGGCATCGCAGACATCTTAGGTCAGTAAATTAACTTCTTATCAGCGAATTGTTCTCACAAGCTTATCATTAGATTCTGTTTCTGTCACACGATGATGTTGATAAACGGACTCAAGACAAAGAATGAATACATTTGCCATTTATGCAGAATTTGCATTCGATGTTGTGACGGATATTTAACATCGTTAATAATTGTTATGAAATGTTCTCATGAGAAAGTCTCACTGGGCAGCAAACAAACAAACGATCCAAGTAAATAACTCAAACTTTTCCCCCTTTTCGACGCAGAGTGTGTCGTCATGGCAGAAGAGGAGAAAAGCCAAGAAGCCGTTGTTGGCAGCGACGTCATCACGGTTCGACTGCAGAGCAAAGATCGAGACTCTTTGCAGGAGTTTTCTCTGCACAGGGTTCGTACCTGCTCCTCTTCTCTGTTGTCTGGTTCGTGTCTTCACTGGCAACGAGACTCAAACGAATCGTGTCCCCTTGTTTATTTCAGGACGCACCGCTGAGCTCCGTCTTCTCCCAGTATCTGTCCACGATGTCTGGCAGCGCTCAGAGTAAAGTCCGCTTCCACTTCGACGGCTCCAAAGTGACGCACAGCCAGACGCCAGCCCAGCTGGACATGGAAGATGGAGACATCATCGAAGTTTGGATTTAAGCCTGTAGATTAATTTTGTATCTTCTATTAAATGTAAAACAAATATAAAACCTTTTGCAGTATTTCCTCTGGGATTTTGTAGCAGCGAGGGGCGGCTGTGCAATGTGTTGTTATTTGTGTACCTCACAAACTCGAGTTTGAGTCAACAAATCCAAAATAAAACCGTCAGAACTGGATCAGTCGCTGTTGCAAAATGATCGCAGTGGAAAAGATGGATTTTCTACAGATTTTATGTACGTTTTGTTTAGTGACTTTGTAAAAGTGACTTCAAGCTCCAGTGTGTAAGATTCAGGTGAAAGGATCTACTGGCAGAAATTTAATGTAGAATAATCGTCATGATGTTTTCACTAGTTTGTTTCATCTAAATTGTAGTTTTTTTACCCCAGAAAAGATCCTTTATATTTAAATACTTCATATTTGCATTAAGGGATCCCCCGTAGAGAGGACTACGGGGGATGCCATCTTTTTTACATTGGTCCAGACTGGAC